TACCATGCGTTAGCAGTGCAGGAGGTGCGTTGCATTGTCATTCATTTAATTGGCACCCCAAATGCAGCTCCCACCCTCAATGCAATTAACCGCAACACGCAGTACCGCAATACCGTGCATTGTGGTGCAGTGTGTTTGAAAAAATAGTGCATGCACAATTTTTAATCAACTGCACCACAACGTATGTTATTGGGGTACCATGCATTGCGGTGCGGCTGATTGAATTAAGGGTGGGAGCCATTGCCGGAGGTGTGTTTGGGGTGCCATTCAAATTAATTGCAACATGCCTCCTGCACTGTTAACGCACTGTAAGTGCATTGAGTGGTATCGCGCGTTGATCGGACAGAATCGTGCAATTGACACACGGACCTGGTGTGAACGGGCCCTCAAGTAGAACCATGGCAGGCTTCAACATCTTATTATCAGTTTATCTGCAGTTACAGTTTCTGAGTTCCCTTGCAAAGTCCTACAAATACCTGTTAATCTTGCCAATGAAGACCTCCTAATGCAGCTTCCAGTGATAGAATGGCAACAATGCTGCACTGCTCCTGAATTCAAAGCAGAATTGTCACTCCCATGTAGGCTGTAGCTGCTTGCACTACAGTGGGTTGAAAAAATGTTGCAGGGTGGTGGCTATCAGCATTGTCACTGCTATTTCACTTTTGTAGTTTAGATTTGTAGTTCTCTTTGGTTGGTGGTATTCTGCACTGCTGTATAATGTATTGCTGCGTAATGAACCTCCGTGGTGGATCAGTGTCTTTAGATCCGCTTCTGTGCTCTCTTCTTCTTGTGGGTAGGTGGCACCCTTCCTGATCCACCACGGAGGTGAGGCTTGAAATCACTGCATTCAAGTCTCTCCTCCATGACAGATTATAAGGGGCACTTCCGGGAAAATAGAAGTGAGCCCAGAAGTACCTCCTAAATGAATAAAGCAGCACTGGAGAACGAGATGATTTGAAGCCTCACCTCTGTGGTCGATCAGGAGGTGCCACTGCTGTCTGGATGGAGAACTTGTCTGCAGGGGGGGAGCAACCCTGAGTCTTTGCCCCGGGTGATGAAATGTCTAGCGGGGGTAAGAGGTGGACAGGTGCTTTGGGATTAGGATGTAGTGCTTATAGTCTCACATTTATTCCCGGCAAGAATCTAGTTATGAATAGATAATTCCTTGTTTGGCAGTATGTCCATCAATAAACCATATTTGATAAATCTCTATATTTTGTTCAACCGAACATATTTCCTCTTTGACATAGCTTAATTATGCAGCCACTCACCCCAAACTTCGGGATCATCCAAGAACCTACTTCCAGGAAGGCAGGATAATAATCCAGCCGTCCCCAGAGTTTTTATGCAGCGGAGCCACAGATGGCACACTAGGACCGATTGGAGTCCTGGTATCTATAACATACTATGATCATTTAGTTACCATTAATTCTTCATTTATTTATTGTTCTTAAAATTCGTTTTCTAGAGAGGAATTATTTTATCCCTAATTATTGCCTATCACCCAAGAGAAATAATAAAGTGCAATTGTGCTTAATTATATTCTGAGCATCTGTGGCTCCGCTGCATGAAAACTCTGGGGAGGGCTGGATTATTATCCTGCCTTCCTGGAAGTAGGTTCTTGGATGATCCTGAAGTTTGGGGTGAGTGGCTGCATAATTAAGCTATGTCAAAGAGGAAATATGTTCGGTTGAACAAAATACAGAGATTTGTCAAATATGGTTTATTGATGGACATACCGCTAAACAATGAATTATGCATTCATAACTAGATTCTTGCCGGGAATAAAACTCCCCGAGGAAGCTTACAAGCGAAACGCGTTGGAGGAATTGGAGCAGTTCATTACTGCACATGAATTATGTGAAAAATGAGATGTATAATATGAAAGAAAATATGTAACTATACGAGTTGTGAGAATTAGGCAATAATCAGGAACTGAGAATCATGCTTATCTATTGGAATGTTTTTAACTTTGTCATATAAATATTTGAATGAATTTTAATAAATTTATATCAAATCGATTACCATCTGACGCCTCTTTAAAACCCCAATACAACCTAGGTTGTGAACCCCTTTTTTTACAAATGAATTATTTGGGGTGAGGTCTCGGATCACCTGGGCTAATACACTGGGTAGTGCCATTTGTATCCAAGGAGGGGAGGAGTTGAGGGCGGCTGCAGTGCTGATTGCTTAACTTATTGGCTGATGCTATTGGAGTTCCCAGCTGGCAATTGGCTGTCAGCTAATGCTGCTTAAAGCCAGCTGAAAACTCTGTGCACCAGCCAAAGAAGCATCACACCTTTGACCCTCACATGACCCCTAGCACTATAACCCACATGCGGAGCTAAAAAGTGCTGACAAATGGCAAGGAATATATATATAGTACATAGGCAAGAACCTGAAAGAGAGTCAGATTAGGCACATAGAAAATATACTGATAACCAGTATCCCGAGACCCAAAACAGGGGCCCCACTCAGTAATAGAGGGATAGTATCGCTCAAGTAACTGATGGAGTAAAACCGGGCAGAACCGTATGCCATGGGGCGTGACGGGTAGGGGTGGGGGGCCCAAGAAAATGTTTGCCCAGGGTCCAGTCAATAATAAAGATGGCCCTGCCTCGGACCATTGATTTTGTGTACCTTATCCATCTCAATGGTTTTCATGGGTTTCCCGATCCATCAACATGTTTAAGATCTCTTGAACTGTTGATCTGAAATCGGCATTTGCGGTAGACTGCAGTATGCCCCGCAGCTGAATGTTGTTTTGGCGACAACCTATATTCGCCGTCATCGAGCTTAAGGTGAAGCAGGGCATACGCTCTATCTTGGGCAGCTCCTGTGGACTCTAGGGCCCTGATTGTTTACTATGGGCAACTGCTCTAGATTCTGTCTGCTCCAGTTTTCATAAATTCCCCCCAATGCGTCGGAATGTCAGCCATGCAATGCACACAATCTAGTGTGTTTTTTTTTATGGTCTGTGATTATTGTTTGGTGTTTTTTTTTTTTTTAATGCAGAATCGCCAAGGTGCTGATTCAGGTCTGAGACTATTTTTGAGGTTTTATTCTGATATATAGCATTCTATCATTGAGAGTTACTTCTGATCATTTTTCCTTTTGCTAATGCGGGCGGTCCTTGCTCAGCATATGTTGTCAGTTTTTAGACTGTTTCCCTTGACATATTGATTCTGCATTATGCTGATGGGTAAACCTGCAATTCCGATGCTGATCTGGTCTCTTTAGAACTCTCTTTTCACTTGTTTTCTAAACCTTTCTAAACCTCACTATAGTGAAGAACATTGTATTGTGGTAGCTGCATTTGGTTAAAACCTGTGATGATAATATCCAGTATTGGAATTTCTTATTTTATTTCAAATGCCTTTATTTATTTTATGCTTTATATTTACACATAGACTAAGCTGTCCAGCAAAAGTGAAAGCTACAAGGCTTGGGACATACCATCTAACACTGCTTGGGTTGCTTTTATCCAAATTTTACATATTTTTTGCAAGAGAAAAAATATGTTGCTGTAACTGCTTAAAAGATGTTGCTTTTGAAAAGTTTTAATTTTTTAATTACTTACTAAACATCTAAAACTACACCTCCATAAAAGACTACCCAGTTCACAGGGTGACAATGCTGCAGTGCAATTTTACTTTCTGCAATTTCAGCAGAAAGTGGAAAATAATACATCCACAGGCAGGAACAACAAGTAAAACATAAATCATTTTATGGGGGTCTCCAGTAAACCTTTTGTATCATGTTTCATTTTTCCACTTTAACTGACACACCGCTTTTGTAGATGACGTATGCTGCTCATTTTAAGATAACTTAAAGTGCGACTAAAGCCAAAACCTTTCTTTTAGTTTTGGATAGCATAGAGAGGGATTAGAAGACCTGGCAGCTTTTTATTGCTTTCTGTGTCCTGTGTGAGGGGAGAGGTTTACCTGTTTGTCCTGGTGACCGATATCACTGTAAGTGAAAAAAAAAAAAAGAGTTGTCACCAGAACAGGGATAGGAAATCTTCCAATAGGGACAACTAGTCCTTGCTGCTGGCCATGCGGGATTTCCCTCTCACTCCCTGTTGTGGCTTTGGACGGGAAGTAATGGGAAATCTCCCTAATGGGACACAGATGGCAAAAAAAGCTGACAGGGGTTATAACCCTCCCTTACTCTATACAAAACTGAAAAAACAGCTTCACTTCTACTTTACTTTCACTCCCCTCTGCTGCTGTTTGTATTTGCTATAACTAGTTCTTATATAAACTGCTATTTCTCTAGTTTATCGTTTTAAAATATATCTTACAGTTGTAATATTTTTTCCCTCTTGAATTACCCACTTTATTACCATGTGTGTCATGTCAAATGGCTGCTTAGTAAAAGAGTCTAACTGAAGAACATTCAAGACATCTTTTATTTTGAAGAGGACCCTGCTATTAACAAAACACTAAACAGTTGTCAATATATGTGACAGCCATCTTTTTCATTCTCATATCTCTTGGGTGTCACTGTAAAGAATAATTTCATCCGATATTAGAAAACTCTAATCAGCTGCAGCAGTGTGACAAGTAAACGTTTGACAAATGAATTCCTAATTCTAAAATGTTAATGATTATAATAGGCAATTCACCAGCGCAGCAATTACACCCTGTATTGTATGTATTTTGTCTCTAGCCATGGAGCCTCTACATAGTGTTAATAGCACTATGCGCAAAGCAAGGCTGAATAAGGGAGCAGCATCATTCATCTCATAGTGGAAGACTTCAATATAAAGCCAGACCCTTATCACACCTAGAGATGGCTTGATTGAACAAGCGATCACATAGGACGTCCATTCTTTACACAGAACTGTTTTTGACAGGACAACATTGATTTTTGGTACTCAAGGCCCGCCCAGCAGCTTAGCTCCAACTCCTAATTGGTTAAGGGTTTATCGCTTAGAGGTGCATGGATTGCATTCAGTAGGACCCGCTATAAATGCGGTGATCGATGCTATGAAGACACAACTGTCACCCTCCCATCTGCCGGCAGTGTCTGATGCCTGTGTCCCCGGCTCCTGCAAAATGCCGAGGGGATTCCTAGTGAAGAGGAATAGGAAACCATGCGGCTCATACAGGATCCCTTGTGAAGACAATGGCTCAGCCCAGACTCTTCCCATGGTCATGGATGTGTTGGCACCTTATAGCTCCATCATGCCCACATGTTCAGAAGGGAGATCAGGGGTGTCCGACAGGGGTGCTCAACGCGAATCTGCACCACAGCAAGTGCCCAGTGAAGTCCCACCTTTCAAAGCTGGAGGAGGCTTAGAGAAACTGGGTCCCTGGAGCAACCTTCCATACAGCCCTGTTCAGCCAGTAGGACTGGAGATGAAGAAGACTTTCTTTAAGAGATACCTTAGCTCTCCAGCTACAGCAGAATCCTTCCCGGTGAGCGCTGCCTTTTCTTCAATGGAGAAACTGATATCCCAGCATCACAACCCCTTCATCACCCCTGAGTCAAAGCTACACGCCAACCCATGCACCAGGGAGGCTGCCAGGTCCAACAAAGTCCCATCCAAGAAGCACAAAGCCAGCAGAAAGCTCCACTTCACCGATGAGGTTACCACTTCCCCGGTGCTGGGATTAAAGATAAAGGCAGAGGAGCCAGATGTCACCTCTCGCAACCCCTTGGTCAAGCGCCCCCCACTTGGGGAGTTCATATGTCAGCTATGTAAGGAGCAATACCCCGACCCCTTCGCTCTGGCTCAGCACAAGTGCTCCAGGATAGTCCGCGTCGAGTACAGATGCCCAGAATGTGATAAGATCTTCAGCTGCCCGGCGAATCTGGCCTCCCATAGAAGGTGGCATAAGCCCAGGGCATTGGGCAACGAAGTGGGAAAGAAAGTTCAGATGCCACTAGAAGGCAAAGAGAACAGCAGCGGGCGCAGCGCAGCCATCAGTCTTATAGAGCAAAGCGCACGAGTTCAGCACCAGCAGAGTGTGGACAGCGATCCGCTCCGACGTACTCCGAGCAGCTCCTTCCAGAGCCCAGAGGACAACCATACTCCGATCTCACACTCCACACCCGAGGATGGCAATGACGAAGAGGCTTTTCACTGCCCATGTTGTCACAAGAGGTTCCGCAGACACGCTTACCTGCGCAAGCACCTCCTCACCCACCAGCCCTACAGCCCCATAGAGAGAGGGCAGCTCACCTACCCTTGTGCCCTGTGTGGGGTTCATTTCCCATCCATGGACATCAGAGACAAGCACAGGCTATGGCATGCTGTGAGAGAAGAGCTGCTGCTTCCTTTAGAGGAAGCTCTGGTGGCTGAAGGTGGTCAGCAGATCTTTCCCTGTGAACTTTGCCCTACTGCCTTCTTCAGCTCCCCTGGACTGACCTTACACATGAACAAGTGTCATTCTGCAGAGAACAGACAGGACCTACCTGTACAAATCCCACTGGGACCAGGCTGCTGAGATGTATGTATGGGCAAAACGGTTGTGTTTTCTTTAGTGTTGGATAGAGCAGTTAAAGGCCTTGTGAGGTTAAAGTAGAACTCTGGGAAAATACAAAAAAAACGTACATATACCACTCCTGAACGTAAAGGGTTAAGCACTTGTTATGCCTAGGGGGCTTAAATAAAGCAGATTTACTTACCTGATCCTCAGTTCCATGGCTGCCAGCTCACCTCTCTCACCTTTTCCTCCAGCGATGGAATGTTTCTTGGCACCCTCACATCTAATGCAGGTCAATGGACCTGCATAAGACTGATGACATCGGTGGTCCTTAGACCGCTGAAGCCCAGGGCAGAAGAAGCTGCACAAACCTGTCTAGCAGCCCGGAGGAAGCCAGCGGAACAATGATCAGCTGAGTAAATCTGCTTTACTCCAGCCCCTAGACAAAACAAGCACTTAACCCTTGCAGTGCAGTGGTAGCCCCACTGCAAGGGTTAGGGTTTTGATTTTCTTGGTTCTTCTTTCTTTCTTGCTGTATGTGACCCCTTCACTTCCTGGCCTGGAGATGCACCTGGAAGTTAGGGAAAACCTCTATTAAACGAGAGGAACTCCCATCTTAGACAATTGTCCCCAGAACAAATGTCCATATTGGAACCTTTACCCTCCCCTGTTGATCTGGTAACAACTGTAAAAAATTGGATTTCTAATCACTGGTTACCGGATGAAAAAAAATAGAGGGTAAACTTCCCCAGCAGGGACGGAGACAGCAATAAAAACCTGGCAGAGGTTCCAACCCTTCTTCACTCTATCTAAAACTAATAAAAGGGCTGTACATACACCTTAATATTTGATTAGTCATATATAAAGGTGTTAGCAGCACCAACAAATCTGTAAGTGAATGTTCCCATATCCATACAAGACCTGATATAGTATGCTATTTTATTGCATTTATTATTTGCAATCATATTTTCATCCTTAGTTGGCTGAGAAACGGGCCGCCTTCCGTGGTTTTAAAGGGGGCAAGAAAATAGGAGAGGGAAGAAAAATGTCTCCCCTCAAAAAGACCTGAATCTATTCCGTATGTGTTTGCAAATATTTGAACCTTTATGATGTAATTTTCTGGTTTACAGGTCCTGGAAAGATCATGTGACCCAAAAGCACAACTGGCCAAAAGTCATTCTTGATAAATACTCCCGTTCAGTCAGTTGGCTCTAGCCTATCATTATTGACAAGCTGCAGTGTTTCCAAAACTTTGTTTGTCCTAATATTTCAAACCCTGGAAATTCTAAAGATTATGTGCAAGTTCTTATTTTGGATGTAGGTATTCCTGTCCAAAGTGTCAATGTGTATGTTACTGAGTAAACAGTTTGCCAAAACTTTTATATCTTACTTCAAAGAAATAAACCAAAGTTCTTGTCTGTAGTTTGTGTTTCGGTGTGACAAAGTTTAGTTGTTTCCTAATTTTGTAATGCTTTCAATGAGATAAGCTTTAAGAGTTGTTATATCTGGTAGCTACCCTGTTTTACCAATCCAAAATATCTATGTAGCACCTCGCCAAGGTAGATGTATATGTTTACAAATCAATAATTTTGTTTAAAAAATGCCACTAAATGGCAATAAAAAAAACTTGTCAATTTACTATTGTTTCTTCTTTCTTTTACATTGTATCTTTTTACCCAGCCCCTGTGTGTACAAACCTTAAATTGTATCAAAACCCAACAATACAAATGTAATTATTGCAGTTTACCAGTTCTTAGATGTGCTGGATCTACAGATTGTCAGCATTGTAAGTTTAGGCTGCTCTCCTGGATTAGACTACATACCCCCTCTCCCCCTTTCCTCATCTCTATTAAATAGAAGGGATGTGTATTGCGGCTCACAGAAGGCTGATAACATTGTCTGAGATGTAAGTTCTGGGCACAAAACTTTACAAGGACACATTTTTAGCATGACAGGAATTTTTCCCTACTTGCAGAAAATGCTCTTAGCTTGAAACAAATTCAGCAAATGCAGCCACTGAATCTAAGGGAATGTTAAGCCGCAATGTATCCAACATTTGTTGATAACATGATTCTCCTATTTTCTAGATGCATTGATTTAAAGTAAACCTGCCATGAGAGAAACATGGGTGCAGTCATCCCTGACCTCCTTCTGAAAATGTCAGTTGCCTGTGTCACTATGTGTCACTGTCCTGGAACACATATGTGGATACTAGAAGTCAGAAGTACTTGTCTGGATTAATGGCTTAAAGGAAAACTCTACTCTCACTAAAAGTCACTATTGCTCCTAACATTGCTACACAAGCCATTTTGTAATGTAATGTTATAAAAATTTGCCTTCCCATTGCAATCTGAGGCATAATGCATTGTGGTAACCTGGAGGCATTCTGTACACCTTTAGTGTATGGAATGCCCCCAGAAATGTCATTTCCTGCTTCTGTGATTGGCTCACAGATTTTTTTCAGATGTCTCACTAAAGCTGGCCATACACTAATAGATTTCTGATTGAACTTTCGTATGAGAGATCTTTCTTTACCACCTGATAATGCCATCAGACACTTTACGAATGCCGATCAAAATCTTAAAGATTTTAAAGTTTGATTTTGGAATGAATGCCGTTACCTGAACAAAATCAAAATTCACTCTTAGAATTTTGTTTGTTTTAAAAACATTTTTTATCCTGCTCCTTTGAGTTTTGGGGGGGAATTTATCAAAACTGGAGCAAACGCAATCTGGAGCAGTTGCCCCTGGCAACCAATCAGCATCTCTCTTCAGTTTGCTCAGGTAAGATTTGGAAATGAGACAGAGAAGCTGGTTGGTTGCAGTGCAAATCTGCTCCAGATTTTGTCTGCTCCAGTTTTGATAAATTCCCCCCTTTGTGTCACTCAATCGAGCTTGATCGTCGATTTGACCCCATCAACTAATAGAAAGACAAAAGAAAGATATTTTGTATGTAAATTCTTTTGAAAATCTAAGCAGTGTATTGTCAGCTTAAGATACAAGTACATTTTAGGCATCCCCTAAAAAAGACATTTCATTTTTGGAGAAATATTCCCTAAGGGTAAATTTAACTACTTCTAACAGGATGGGGAAAATGCACCTTTCCTCATCAGAACACAGAGATTTCAGCAGGTATCGAGCCCAGACCCTCTAATTCAGGAATAAGTCTGGGAAGGACATGGTGAAACAAACAGCTTTTTCTTTAAAACAGAAACAGGTAGGAAACAGCATCAAAGTTTGTTAAAATCTTTGCAATGTACATTGATCACCCAGTGGGACTGTTTTTTCCCTGAATGAAAGTGGAGTTATACTTTCAAAGTTTTGGGGCATGCACATTGACACAACAATTAGGCAACTTACATTTTTGGAAGCTTAGTTCAGCAATAGTGGCCCCCCTGTTTATGTCATGCCAGGTTTCCTTTAGAGCCCGTTCACCCCAGATGCATGGAGGTTGTGCTCGCCACTTTTTCCTAGTACAGTCCCAAGCCACAGACAGGGCAATTTGCTTTGTTTTCAGTTGGCTTAGTTCGTACCACTGTTGCAGTTGTGTGTGCTGAAAACAGTGTGGCATGTAGCACTGTGTGGTGCAGTGCAACCTCAGCGTACATCGCTGTGTCGACAGCACTTCAATAAAGCTCTATTAAAAATAAGTGAACAGTGTGATGTGCCAGCGCATCAGCCCTGTACCTGTCATCACACACCAGCGGCCACACATTCCCAATGAATTGCTGGCTTGAACGGACCCGTAAGCAGTGTGTTCCATATGCATGACTAATATATACCTTTACACTGAGAATTTAAGAGAGTATCATAAGGATCTCTTTATAATTTACAGATTTCACAGATGTACATTTAATTACAAGGATTTGCCATTGGGAAAAATGTGTACCAAGGAAATGTGTTTACTAGTGTGCATAGAAAATGTGCCACTTAAATACAGCTGATGGGTGTGTACCAAACAATGCAATATACAGGTTATTTATTATGTAGCAAGTAAGTTGCGCTCGGTCTAAAATAAAGTTATTTATTGTTGCAATCTTTTCTTTGTCTGAGTTAAAAGATATAAAGAGACATTACCTTAACCCTATTAATAAAAGTGCAGTAAGTTCTTTCGACCAATCAAAAACCAACGGTAAACTTTCACAGGTCAGAGTTTAGTAAACTGAAACCAGTGTGCATCCACCTCCGCCTCCCCTCCGGACCCACCCTCACCCCCCTTTGAGCAGGAAGGTGACAACGCCAAGGGACGTCGGAATACCTCGGGAGCTGCACTACACCACCCTGCAGCACCGCGTCTCTCCCCAGCGTCGGAGCCTGCAGAGATCCAACAAGACAGCCACGCCAGCACTCATTCAGAGGATCATCCCACAGCCCTGCACCCAGGCAGTACAAGAGCCCACCACCGTCGTTGAGAGCCAGCCTTCACTTTCCTTGCGGTGAGTTACAGAATCTCCCCCCTTTTCTTGCTCACCCACCTTATCTCACCTTGCCATATTTGTGTTTACATCTGCCCCATCCGGTTGGACCTCCACACCACCCATCCTAAGAGGGACCGTCTCCCCCACTGCTCCACTCCATCTCACGGCCTTCGTAAAAGCGAATGATCGACCTACCATAGGTGAGTACATCACCTACCCCTCTCATCCAACTTCGCCACAAGTTTAAAATTTGTTGATTTACCAAGGGAATAGAGGAATAGGGAATATTCACTGAGCTTAATAAATAGGATGAAGATGTGTTCACTGCAATCAGCCAATTCAATTCTAGCACAAATTCTGCTTACTTCCTCTTACACATGAATGGTTATTCAAAGTGGAGACAGGTTCACCTTATTTATTATTTATTAGGTGAACAGCCTCTACTCCTTTAGGAAATCAACCCCATTGTCATAAAAATATATGTAGTAGTAAACTGTAATCAATGTCAATGGATTCAACATATTTGTTTGTCAATAAAGTTGGCATATTTTATTTAGTATGCATATGTATGTTAGATTCTTGAGATTTTAGTTTGTGGATAGAAATAAAA